TCTCCTCACAATTTTGAAAGCTTTGCTCCATTGTTTTTCACCTTTCAGTAATGTTGTGAATTCTAATGCCATTATATTCTGCATCCTTTGTGTGAAACCTGTTTTATCTCTCTTTTGTCCCTAGTGTGACTTACTGTGTTTTTTTCCTTCTATTTTCTTGCATTAGAGAGGATCCATTACATCTGAAAATCATATCCTTTGATTTTAGAAAAATTTCTTGAATCATTTTGTTGATGACTTCTTCCCTTTTGTTTTCTCTGTTTTATCTTTGTAGAATTCCTAATAATTAGATATTGCATATTCTGGACTGGATTTTATAATTTTTTATGGTTTTACACTGATTGTCCATTTCTTTTTATTTTAAACTTTTTGAAAGAGATTTCTTCAGCTTCATTTTCTACCTGCAGTTTTTTGTTTCTGTAATTATCATTTTTATTTTTATGACCTTATCTTGTTGTATACTCTCTCCTCCTTAGATCCCACACCCAAATTAGGGCTCCCTGTTCTTATTTCATGGGTGTATTATCTCCTGTTAACTCTCTGAAGGCATTAGTTGTAGTTTTTATTTTTTGAATATTTTCTTTCCTATGCAGTCTCTGTTTCTTCCATTTTTTTTCTCTCTTTTTTTTTTTTGCTTGGTCTCTATTTTTCGTATTAGATATTTAATTAATTGGTTTTCCTTGGCAATCTGCTCATTATGAGTGAAGCATTAATAATAAAGAAGCAAACATTTACGTAATGCTTAGGATGTGTCAGATACTATTCTAAGTGCTTCATCTATTTTAATTTATTTAATCACAATAAATTTAGGAGTTAGTTACCATTATTATTTGTTAATATTATTGTTGTTAAGTTTAGGAGTTAGTTACCATTATTATTTGTTAATATTATTGTTGTTATGACTATTATCATCATCTCCACTTGACTGATGAGGAAACTGAGGTGTAAAAGATTTAGTAGCTTGCCCAGTGTAACACAGTTGGTAAATGGTAGAGCTAGAATTTGAATACAGGTAGCCTGTTTCCATTGTCTCTTCTTTTAACCTTTGTGCTGTCTGCCTCTTATTGAAATCAGGAGTGAATTAGAAATTCTGTACACATCAAAGTAGCGTTATTTGAGTGAGCTCTTTCTTTGTGGAACCTCTGATGAGGTCTTTTTTCCACGGGCTGATTAGATTCACCAGTGAAGAATCTTCTAAACTGCTGACTAGAGGCTGAAGCCCAGCCGCTGGCAGTTTGGTCGCTGAGTGGCGAGAGAGGACCTGGGCAATGGGTCTCAACATTTGATACAACTTGGACTTAGTCCATCTGTCTCAGGGTCTTTTAACCTACAGACCCTCGGCTTTACCCTGTCCAATGAATACACCTGCAGCCTTCTGCTGTGATGAGGAACTGTAAGTTGCCCAGATGTGCAGATTCTGGGAGGGGATCTTGGGAGATATCTGTGACTCTTTTTGTCTTGCCTTTACTCAACTTTCAGTGCCCCCCAATTCTTAGCCTTTTTTTGGATTCTATGATATCAATGTAATTGATTCTCATTTTCCCTACTGGCAGTTTAAGATTTATCTTCCTTGTATTTGCTTTCAATTTTTTTCAGTTTTCTCATTTCACATTCTCTTTGACCCTGTGTTTATGAGGAAGCAAATAATCAAAACAAATTTTAGCTATCTGTTAAGAAGAGGCTTTTGGGAAAAGACTTGAATAAATGGCATGTTCTTAATGTGCCATTTAAAATTCTGTTAAGTCTGTTGAAATAGATCTCAAATGTCTCCTATCTGAAGCATTTCATGATGCTCCAACTAGGTATATCACCTTCTGAAAATCTTTCCTCCCACTTTGGGCATATTTTCGTCATTCGTAAGGCTTTTTTATATCTCATATTATTGCATTTGCATGCTCTACTTACACTCTGCCCTCCCCTCACACTTGACCATAATTCCTTGAGGACTACGAGTGATCTATAGTGTTACTCAATAAAAATTTGTTAAGTTTTGTATGGACTTTTATTTTTGAAAAATGTTAGCAATATATTGGGTTGTTGGAAAAGTCATGAAAAGCATAGAAAAAATACGTCATGACTTTTCCGACACCCCAATATTAACCCTCCATCGGGCGCAACTGATCTCACAGATTGTTTTGAATTTCTGTTGATTTTTGTACTGAATTTATGTAATAAACATATATTGTTTTTACTTTGTGGCAAGTTAAAATTTCATTCTGAATAAATAATAAGCATGCTTCCATGTTATTTTCATTCATTTTCAATTTAAATATATAAATTTCATACATGCATCTAGTAGATGCATTGCGTCCAATGGATGGCTAAATACTAAGGATAGTAAATGAGGGAATTAATACAGTTGTGCAACAAAAGAAATTAAATTCAGGTATAAAAAAGACATTTTTTAACAATTGTCAATTGTTAAACCTAGATATTATGAAACCTTTCAATGTAGATACCTAATCATGACACAGTATCCATCTTTTCTCCTTCTAGGACCCAGAAGAAAGAGCTACATGCTCTGTCAATTTTTTGCCCTTGTTCAGGATTCTATAACTTAGATGACACATATATTTGGTGTTGCTATTATATTTCTAGTATACTGAGATATGATGTTGTGTTAGAAATATTCTAATTGTTTATAAATGCATTTTAGATAAACTAATGTTTTAATGTATTAGGCTAAATCTATTTAGAAGCCCACACTTGCAATATTTCCTTTTAAAAACTAATTTTTTGTATTTGTATTTTGTAAATGATTTTTATAAATCAGTGCTATATTTTTTTCCTCCTGATCTTTAAAATGTTTAGAAGGAAAGAGAAACTATTTTAGGACTTCAAAGTAAATTATTCAGAGAAAGGTTATTGCTTTAAAATAATGTTTATATTCCTAGCACTGTATTTTAAGAAACTCAAGACACATTTGTCTTTTAAAATGTATTAATATTTCTTTGAAAATAAAGTAAAGGAAGGCTATCATCTGCATTTTAATATGTAAAAGTTGCTGAGGTATGGAAAACATCAGTGGTCACTAATAAGATCTTTTGTAGAGCTAAATCAGTACTTAGGAAACTGATGGTTTTTGGTTCATTATGCAAACAAAGCTAAAATGATTGTTAGGCATGAGTATTTGTTTTTGTTTTCAAATTTTCTGGCACCTTGCACATAATTTATTGGGATATGACTTATGAAAACACATAGAAGCATTACTCTAAAAATTCCATTCTTTTGAAACCATATTATTTGGGTACAGTGTTCATAGATGCTAAAAATATTTTTTAATTGTCTCCTGAGATTTGTGGATACATGTGGAAAAGACGAACTTGGTGTTTATAGTTTGACTTGGTTAACTCTCAGTATCCATATCACTCTTCATTCCTAATTTCTTCATGAGAAGATGTAATCACATACAGATTTCTATTCGCTTGCAACACAAAATTAATGTGAATTCCATTTCAAACTAACCACCATCAAAAGTTTTTGAAAGTCTGGTTTATATTTTTTAAGTGCAGTATGTGGATGACTTGCTTAGTTTTGATTTTTGGAGAAGTACATCTTTAAAAAATTTTTCAACAGATTTTTAAGATGTGGGTAATGGTGACAATACTGGTATCATATTCTGGTTAATTTAATGTCCTTTTTATAATGTATTTTTTTCTACATAAATTTCCTTTAGTGACATTACCTACTGAGTTTCTGTGAAAATAAATTTTCTTTGCTTATTAAAGCAAAACAACTCTTGAGATTGTTTCTTACTATTTATTTTTCTTTAACTATTTTTGTTTTATTTTTGAAGGCATTAGTATTAATTTCAGTGAGAAAGCAAAGTATGGCTATCGATGACTACTGCCTCATCACTTAAAACAAAATGCCTTAGAAAATGCCTTTAGAATTGTTGCTTAACGTGGTTTTATTTGTTTAGCTGTTCTATTTATTTATTTATTTTTTTAGAAGTTGGAGAAGATTGTTTTCCTGTAATCAAGTCTATCTTATATTACTGAGTCAAGGAAATGGTTATTAATATATGGATATGTTCACTTTTGAAATATAGAAAAGGAAACCAGTTATGATTCACCAGAGTATCATTTACAGCTACTGTTTCACAGTTTATTATGAATTTATTTTTCATTTTAATGTATACTCCTTATTACTTGTTTTACTTTTCCAGGTTTTTTAGTTCTTTCATGGTTTGGTAGATCAGTGTCTTTTGTTTTCTTCTTAAAGCCCAGGTACTCACGATTTTCTCATTTTATTTTTATGATACAAAAGAAAGCATGTGTGATCCTGCTGCTTGTCTTGCTTACATACTTTAAGGGTAAAGAGGAGAGGAATTCTGGATATTCGCTTGTGTTTTTCTCTTCCCTGGTCTCTCATGAATACATGACTTGATTTATCTTGATCAGCCTAGTAACTTGCTCCACATTTTTCCAAAAGTGCAAAGCAGTTTCAGCTAAAAATACACATATCAAAATGCTCCAGAAGTTGTGGCCACAGCTCAAAAATGCTGATCAATTTTGAAAATCTAAATCAACCTCGGCCATGAAACCAAGGGAAGAACCTTTGTGGTGGGGCACAGATTTCCAAAAATTCACCACAGTCCTGTTCTTAGCTGGAGCTTGTGCTGATGTTGCCAGACAACTGAGGAATAGATGCAAAAAGCAGGAAGCATTATTGAATTGAGCCCTAGCGCCAATTTGGGAAAAGCAAATTAAAATGTAAAAGAATATTTTTCCACTCCTGGCGTCTCAACATAAAATGGCAAAATACATGGTTGCTGAAAAGTCACAGAAATTGCTAATTTTGCCAGAATGGCCAATTTTGCCAACAAAAATCAGCCTTACTGAGTTAAAAATGTATACACACATAGTTAAATGTTTTTTTTTAAACCTAAGTGAAATTATTTTAATTTACAAATCAAAATGTATATACATTTAAGTCAGATTGTTTTGACATAAATGACTGTGTGTGGGCTTGTTTCAATGTCTTCTGTTATGTTTCAGGTGTAATTGAAGGATGGATGATGATGATTTTGGTGGTTTTGAGGTACGTGCTATTATTTATCTTATTTAGCTTATGTAATTGTTTTAACTTTGTTATAATGGAGTATACTATTTTGAAAATGTATTATTTATCACTGGTGTTCATGATATTTTTCTTGATCGTTTTGAATGTAACTTTGGGATAAAAATGTCAAATCAAGGAAAATTAAAATAGATCCTCTCTGAGAGTTAAACTGATTTCTTATTATTGAACATTTGGTCATGCCCATAGGAATGGTTTAAATTAAGGTAATTAAGTGCTACTAGTGGAAGCAGTAAAGAAGAGGTTTTAAAAATTGTCAGCAGATGATTTTGTTGGGATAAATGTCAATTAGGAAATACTTCAGAGATGAGAGATGAGTATTGAAGCTCTGTCATATATCTTCTTGTTTACACCTGTGATGAGTTCATTTAGTCTGTGAGCTTCATAGCCTTTTGGGGGCTTATAGAACCAATTAGTGTGTTTGTGTTGTTAGATTATTCTTTCAGGTTTGAGTTGTATATTTTGTAAGTGGAAATTGTTAGCTGAAGAAGCCCTGCCTTTTCCTTAATCCTTTTCAGTGAGTGTTCATTTTATTGAAATATTTTGTAACCCAGTTATTTTTATGGAGCCAGTGTAGTCTTGCAGGAAAATCTCTGGATTCAGAGTCAGGATGCCTGAGCTCAAGTCCTGGAACTACTACCATCAAGTGATTTTTTTAGTAAGATTTTAACCTAGTTTGGAATTTGGTAAAAGGAGAGTGTTAAAAATAGACAGTGTAATTAATGACATTAATAGGAGATATAAGATATTAAGTATATATTCACTGTTCTGAATAGCATGAAGAATGGTATGAGGTTTTTTTTTTAGGTTAGGATCATTTTCTCTTCTGTTGATCTTAATTCTGTCGATATGGAGATATTTAGAATATTATCATAGCCATTTTTTGCATTTCATCTAAAATTGTTTTTGCTGAGCACATTTGTATTTTTTCTATATTTTCTTTAATATTTTGGGTTTTGTTGGGTGGTTGAATCTTGTTTATGTTACTGAAATGTGACATTTAAAATTTTGTTAAAATTCCTTCTATTTTGAGGAAAGTGTTTCAGATATAAAATTAGTTTATTATTTAGAAGTTGTTAGTTATTTGAAGGTTAAAACTTAGTACATGAGGTGTGATTAAAAATACGGTGAATGTTTAAGTAAAAAAATTTATTACAGTAAAAGACACATTGTCATTAATCCCCCTCAAAATACTCTCCCTCACTTCAAACACACTTATCCCATCATTCTTGCCACTTTCTGAAGCAGTTCTGGAATTCCTCTTTTGTGAGTGTCTGTAGTTGTGCTGTCGTGGCTGCCTCGATGTCCTGAATCATTTTGACTTTGGAGAAGAGCCAGAAGTCACACGGTGCCAGATCTGGTGAATAAGGTGGATGAGGACACGCCGTAATGTTTTTACTTGACAGAAATTCCCATATACCAGAAGCGATGTGTGACACGGAGCATTGTCATGATGGAGGATGATTTATGGCGCACTTTAAAACACACCTTCTCTCAACCGTAGCTCACACCTACTGACCACTGAATCAGTTGAAACTTGTCACACACTGTTACTAAGGTTCCTCGTGCTGCTTCCTGTTTTGAAGATTCCTGCCTTTCTGTTGGATGGCACATGTAAGTAGTTTTCACCTTGGTTTTTTTCTCGAAACGGAAAGGCTCCGAGTCACACATCGCTTCTGGTACAGCAATTTCTGTCAAATAAAAACATTATTGTGTGTCCTCATCCACCTTATTCACCGGATCTGGCACTGTGTGACTTCTGGCTCTTCTCCAAAGTCAAAATGACCATGAAAGGTAAATGTTTTGAATCGATTCAGAACATCGAGGCAGCCAGGACAGTGTAACTAAAGACACTCACGAAAGAGGACTTCCAGAACTGCTTCAGAAAGTGGCAAGAACAATGGGATAAGTGTATTTGTAGTGAGGGGATGTATTTTTGAGAGGGATTAATGGCAATGTGTCTTTTACTATAATTAATTTTTTATTTAAACATTCACCATATTGTTTGATCATGCCTTGTGACCTTTATTTAAACCATGCTAGGTTTATTATATTAGGAAAAAAAATGAGTAGGTAGTGCTCTGTAGAGTAACAATTATACTTCAATATTATAATCAATGGATCTATTACTTTCAGTATTACATAGGTACAATGTTAACTAAGCATTCCAATTTAATTGTGGTTATTGGGTTTCTTTCTTTCCATATGCTGTTGTAGGAATATGGAAGGTCTTTGTTCTTGGTAATGTAAACCGTGTTCATTTTTCATAGTTTGTACAGAGTAGCTTCTATATTCTATGCCACTCTGTTCCTGCGGCACATTTCCCCAACTTCTCCTTGGCTGACAGCTCAAGCAGAATCTGAATTGATATTATGTTTTTTTTTTTTTTAGTAATAATTTTACTGTGACCTGGACACTTAAGAGACAAGAAAACTCTGCACTCTTACACACATCTAATCATTAAGTAATTGTTCCATAGTTTTAAAAGTGTTTAATAGGAGGGCTTATTAATTTAAAATGTCAGCATTAGGAATTCTCCTAATGTTGAATGCTAGTAAGTCCAGCTGGTAGATTATTCAAGAATATGGATAAATTCTAGTTATTTAGATTGATCTCTAATTAGGTCTTATGCTAATTAATGGAAAAGATTTGGTCTCTAGAATTTTAAATAAAAAGGATCTATTTTTTTATATATATGGGTAAATATGGTAAGTTAGCTTAGAGTATTTAGATATAAAGTTCACAAGTGATTAAGGATATATAAAAGAAAAATTTCATGGCAGGAGATACATTTGAGTAAGGAAGGAAAATTTTTACTTAAAGTACTTTGAGCACTGGGGATGGTGAGTAGTGGTGAGGGCAATAGCAATGAAGATTGAGAAGCAATTAAATTTTCAGAGGGAATTTGAAAATATGTGGTGTATTACAAAGAATATGCTTGTAGAAATGGAAAGTTTGATTAATTAAATAGCATTTCTGCTTTTCAGAGCTTCTAAAAGAATTATGCCTTTGTTTTCTAGGCTGCAGAGATTTTTGAGGGTGAAAGTGGTGAAACCCAAACTACATCTCCTGCTATTCCGTGGGCTGCTTTTCCTACAGGTACTAGCATACCATAACTAGGAATTTTTTTCTCATTTAACATTTTTGCCCTTTCTTTGAAAGCCTCTTTGTACCTTTGCAGCTGACAATCTTTGATCTGAAGAATGGAATGAAAAATGATATAATCTAGGTATTTTTCATAACAAATTATGAATTGCATAACAAATTCTGCAATAGTGGCTTGAGGCATTCATGATTCAAAAAAATGAGATCATGAACATTAAGTGAAATTAAAGCACAATTTACATTTCCTAAGTTGTCATATTTAGGAAGGTGAGGTGCAAATAATTTTTTTAGGTTGTCCAGTTCATTAATTAAAATCTCCTTCTTATATGCTATAACTATTTGTCACAGTAATTTATTTCTACCAATATTTAAATTTAGAAGTTTTTTACAGCAAGGTCATTCAAAAGTATTAAAAATTGAAATTAAAACATCCAAAAAATTAAATACAAACATAAATTCCATTATTGAGAGATATTTTTGGAAGACCTAATTAATGTTCAGTATTAATATAATTCATACCTAAATAGCATTTTGAATTTTCCAGACTTTTTGTTCTGCCAAATCATTGTAAAGTCAGAAGTAGATGAAAATACCATTTTTTAACAGTTCTCTGTAGTCTTAGATTGTTAGAGGTATTCATCCTACAAATATTTTTCTAGTGCTGATTATGCATTAGGCACTATGGGGTACGCCCTTTACTCCAAGGGAAGATAGGGCAGGCACAGCATGTTTGCGATTTGGGAAGAATGATGATTTCACCGTCCATTTGTTTAGCAAGTGTTACTTTATGCCTGGTATGAGCCAAGCACTATCGTTAAAAGTGCGTTTATATTAGCGAACTGGGCTTTGGTTTTAGCAGGCAGAGATGGGAGAAAGGGGAAAGATTTTGAAGGTGATAAAATAAATGGAATGAAGGTATGCATAAATGTGGGGAAGAAGGTGGCATAATTAGGAGGCTCGTTCTTATTCAAGGGCATTATATGTGGTGTTTCCTTTGCCAGGAACTCTCCACCTTGCTTTCTATCTCCCCTCTCTCACTTCCTTACCATACTAACTATGGTTTGTTTTATGTGTTGTTCCTTGCTTTAATATTTCTTTTTCTGGGAAGCTTCCCAGAGAACCCTCCTGTGGCTATGTGCACCTATTTTCTGACTTCCATGTTATACTGTAAGTTTTGTGGTGTTAGGCACCATGTTTGTGCTATTGTTACGTTTTAAATGCCGAGCATAATGCCTCGCTTATAGTTGGCTCTCATTAAATATGTATAGAAAGGATAATCAAAGGAAAAAAAAATGAATGAATGAATGAATAACTGAATGAATGACTAGACTAGGGTGGCGATGGAAATTAATAGGAAGATTGGGATAATGATAGTTATATAATGGTATAGGATTTACAGTGTGCTGTCACATGTCTGTTTAGTGTAAAGTAGGTAGGGCAACTATACTCTTCCTGTTGTACAGATGACGAAAAGATAGCTTATAAAAGTTGTAGAGTTTGATACAGATAAATATGTTCAGGATGAAATCTAGTCTTTCACATTCTCTCAGTTCTTTTTCAGTAACTGTTTTTTGTAAACAGCATCAGCAGGACTGCCTGACTGACTGGATATAATGGTGAAGGAGGAGTCAAAATGGATTTTTGATGTTTCAAGCCTTGGTCCTGAAAGAATGGTATTACCATGAACAGAAAGAGAATGGAAAAGAGCTGGTGTGGGACAGCCTGAGGCCTTCACAGATTTGTCTTAGATATTTGTACTTTCGGCACCCAGAGTTCAGGAGAAAGGTCAGGGCTGGAGTTCTTGGTTTGGGCGATTTTCCACTGATGGACAGTTGAAGTTGTAGGTGATTCCTTGGGGAACAGCATGTAGAAAGAATAAGGTTAAGTAGAGAAATCTGGTTGTCCATAGTTAGGGAACAGGAGAAAGAAAAAAAGACTTGAGACATCAGGATAGTATGTGCTAGTGCTGCAACACAGACGTCAGTAGAAGATTTCAAAAAAGGCGTGGTTGCCGTTGTCAGAGGTTGTAGAGAGGTCAGTAAGATTGGAGACTGAGAGAAAACCTATAAACAATTATCAGTGACTTTTAGTTTTAGTACATTGAAAGTTGAAGCCAAATTGCACTTCTTTACTTTGTGTGAAAGCAGGAACAATTTGTTTCTGTTTTCCTATAATTATTGTGGCAGTGGATTAAATAATTGTGTATCTAATTTCTGTTCTCCTAGAGTTGATATTATGTCATCACTCTCTTTATACATACAGATACATATATGCATATATGTGTATACATATATATGTAGGTCTAGTCCTCAAAACCTAATGAAGTGAACATTAAAAAACAATACCTGTAGTGTGTACACACACACACACACAC